TCAACGTCACCTCTTGGTCAATCAAGGCGTAAGGCAAAAACAAATTGGTGTCCTTTAATATTCAGTTTTTAAGACCTTGTAAAGTGACTCGTGTTTTATACCTTAAGTATCCCCAAGTTCTATTGTAGGCTTGTGTCTCCTCGGCGGTTTTTGTTCATAAAACAGTACATACTTCCCAGTATCTTTGTTTGAAGCTAGTTTACACCGGGAGAAGGTATCTGGATACCCATGCCTGCTGTCCATGTCTGTTTTTACGTTAGGGAGTCAAGGAGGAGTGAGGGAAATACCTACTTTGTTCGGACAATGGCTGCGCTTGCAAAAGTACTCCAAGCATTACCTCCTTGCCGCTGGCGTCGTACAGCTCTATTTTTATTTTTGCCGGCCCCATTGCCATAATTTTCGTTCATTTATAAAATATTTAAAATAAAAACGTCGTTACTTATTGGCTGCTTCCGTTAATCAATTTCCTATCACATTTTCACTTGTCAGACTCATCCGTCTTGTAGCTAGCGTAGAGTTCATTGTCAAGACTAGATTAATCCATTTAGGGGTATCCTTTTCATCAAATAAAACGGAAGTGTTATGTGCTGTATTCCAGAGTACTTTGTATATTCTCTCCATCCAAAGGCTGATCAATCTTAGCTAATGCAACCTTTTCGTTTTTAAGCTCCCCGACTTATGCATCGCAATGTTGGGCAGCGTGGACGTTGGAAAATCGACCTTGCTCGGCATACTCACGGATGGAGAACTAGACAACGGTCGTGGTCGTGCCCGTCTCAATCTCTTTCGTCATCTGCATGAAGTACAGACCGGTCGAACTAGCAGCCTTAGTTCTGAGGTCATTGGTTTCGATGCCGCAGGCCATCTCATCAATCGAAAGCGTTCTAAGAGCCACCTTACTCGACGGACCGTTGACGAGGTTAGAGCTAATGACTCCTTTTTAATATCTCTGATTTGCACTGTGTTTTATTCCTGAATGTCCCGGTTTGTTCCAGACTTCTATTACTCAACAGGCACACAACTCCGTATAGCACTTGCTTCGAATAGGTTTGTAAAAATTGGGTACCGAACAGCAGGCGTAACAGATTTATGCCTATAATTCCCCCACGTTTGGCTTTTTCCGTCGAAGTATTTTCCAAGTCTTTATAACCCGAAATACGTACGCCCTACTTCTATAGGTATGACGGATGTAAGACCACAGTTCTTTGAATTTTACGTGTTCGAGTAGGCAATTCTCCCCTTCCGTTCGTTTATTTCATAAATAGTAGGCCCGTGCACGAGCCGACGCCGAATGGAGAGGACGGCAGACCAATTTCTATTTTTGCATTTGGGACAAATTTGGTTTCTTGCCATCTATTAACTAGAAAATACTTGAGGGTGAATTTAATGTGAAAAAGAAACCTATTTTTGTCAAAATTTTGTGTATCGATTAACCCAAGTTAACAGTCAAGCAAGCCCAGCTTTCCAGCCGAACCGAAATTTTTTATGTTAGCCAGCAATTGCTTCATTTTCAATGCTCCAATGCCACCTCTTTTTAAACAACTTCTCAAACTGAGCTCACTGGTTCTGCTGTCATTTAAAAAAAATTGCCCTTCAAAATACTTAACGAAGGCGTTGCAAATTGTCATCTGTTTTTCCTTTGTTACCCTTGTAACCGTCACCATTTCCTACTTTATTGATCTCGGTGTCTTCTAGGTTGTATGCGACTCCAATCGCCTCATAACCCTGTTGGATTTGGCCGGACATCCGAAGTATCAGCGCACCACCCTATCGGGTCTGGCTCGTAGTCAGCCTACCTTCGCAGCTCTCGTTGTCTCAACGACCTGCGGTCTTACACCCGAGGGCTTGGACCACGCACGCACCGCGGCTGCCCTTGGCTTGCCCCTAGCTGTAGTTATCACGAAGATTGACCTTCTGACAGAGGGCAGTGCACTGGAGACCCCGAATGCCACGGGACAGACTGGACCCCTGTCTCTTCTGTCCAACAGTGCTTCTGCGCCCGACCTGCAAGCAAGAACGCCGCTGTACCCAGTCGCCCATACAACTGTATACAAACTTCTTAGACCATCTGCGACCAACGCTGTTACCGCTATCAAACAGAGCATTATGGCCAAACTGAAAGCCATCCGGTCATATTCGCTCCTACCCAATGGCGAGCTTTTGGGGGTCGAGTAAGAGCTCTTTTGTCTTCCTTTAATGCTTTTTCAGTTTTATCCTGTGAGTTATTGTCGGAATGAAATTTTTCATACACTAAGGGAAGCCTAGCTACTGGAGCCCAGTGAGATCTGTGATATCTCTTGTTTATGATGTCTTCACCACCACGGACCTTGTTTGCTAGAGATGGCTGCGAGTATTCACGGCTAGGTCGTCCTAGTTGATTGGGCGCAGAATCTGTTGGCTGTATAAGGTTTGTCTGAATCGAATTTATTGCTGTCCTTTAGTCGGTTTCCTCAAACAGCGCTCAGAAACTTAGAGAGTTTTAGGTCTAAGATACTTTGCTAGAAACAGAAAATACTCGCTCCACTATAGAAGAAGAAGGGTCGTTGGCCTCATATTTCGTTTTGGCACTCACACTGGTTTAGGATTATGCAAATTTCCTGTTTGTCACGTCTTGTGGACATCCAATTTTCGTTTGTCATACTCCGTGGTCCAGTTATATATTATTCTAGTTCGTCTCGAGCCAAAATATTCACCAAGGTGTCCGATAAGGTGCAGCGGCGACGTGCGTGTGGACTTGCAGTCTGGAACTTTGTTTGAAGTGAAACCAGGTTATCTCGTCCGAAGCCAGCTTACCAGGCTACCGACTGTTAGCGCTTTAGGCTGATGAAAAAGCACATTTGATTATCATGGATTCGACGTATTTTATACCTAATTCCCGTTGGTGTATGACAGCCGTTATCCATATGTTTGTGCCTAATCTGGTGCTGGTACTTTCGGATCGAAAAAGGTCTAGACTTCACTGCCTGTCGGCCTCAGTTGTGATGCTCAGTTGGCTCTCGGTGACACAGAGATCATGCTCCTTAGCCCTTGCGGTTTTTGTAAAGACTTGCATGCGGCGGATGTTGAATAGCTTCCTGTCAGTTCGTGGTAAATGTCGATGTCCCGTTCGAATTTCTCAGGGTTCTTTCACCAGCACTGTGAAGGATGGAGTAGTGACACAGCCTTGTTTCGTCACCTCGAGGACTTCCGAGTTCGACCCGTTGTCACTGACGTACACCAGTGTGTCCTGCTTGAACCCTTCTGGATATGCCAGTTTCGTCATAGTTTTCCTCGCCAATCTCACTCGCCAGTGTAAAAAAACTGGCAGAAACAACGTGGAGACTAATGCTCACTTCATAAATTGTTTGATGCAATCGTCGGTTGTTCCATGATACCTCCTGAAGCTGCATTGTTTCCCTCGTAAAACCCCTCCTTGTTAGACATGACAATTCAGGCAGGTGAGGAGAACGGAAACAATGGTTTTTGCGGGAGATGCTGGGTAGGAAGCTATTCTGGTGCATACTGAGCATTTGCGGACTTCCTTTACGTTTACAAAAGTGCACACTGCGGCCACCCTTGCTGTCTCGCTGGAATATCGAAATCAGTCCGTTTCCAAGTTGGGAGTCATGACACTTGTTGACTTCAGTTTAAGTTGAGTTTACGCCGGAGACTTTTCCTCTGAACACCTGTTGCTCCGTCATGTTCATTTTCTGCAAATAATGTGGAAATTTAAGAGCAGTACCAGGAGGTCGGTTGATGACTTTCTCACAAACGGAATGGGACAATTAGGGACGCATCTAGTGTTCGATCTGTGAGGTCTACGACGACATTGCTGCTCCACCTTGGCCGAGTATCGAAACGCTTCCGGTCCGTTGGAGCCGCAAATAAATTCCTGGTTTCATTACGTTTAGCGCGTCTTTAGCCCTCCTTTGCCTTACTAGTTAAGTACTTGTTCTGCATCTTTCGTCATCCATTTAGTTAGTAGTGGTCGTGTTTTTCGCAAAACCGGTTCTTTTTCAGAGATGGTTCTTATTTGCGGTCTAGCCAGTCCTAATGTTTTACACATGCGCGTTAAAGGACTTGCGCAGGCATATGAGTGGCATCCCACAGGCAGTCCGCCATGCAATAGCTTCATATTAGTGTCAACTTCACTGATAGGCTCCGATCACAGTTCAGCCATGTCCAGTAATTTTTCGTTTACTTTCTCTGATTCCTTCTCCCCCTTCCATTCGAGGTCGTCTCCGTTGTAGGGTTTGGAGTCTCTTCTTGAAGAGAGTCAGGTCGGTTCAGCTGTTGGCTCCGCATATCTATCTCCTCACGTGTACATAGTACACCAGTTGTCGGTGGCACGTCCGTGGGCTTATTTTGTAATCAGGAGGACGAAAGCTTTTTTAATAATAAGTTAACGTACATTTCCCCTCAAATGAGTAAATACTGTACTGAACACATTTAGGGCAACAGTAGTTTATGTAGTGCACCTTATTAATCCCTAGTCCCAGTATCTTGTCCTATGAAAACCGTATTTATAGGGTTTTATGGGTGGGGAATTAGGATAGCCAGTGGAATATACTTTAATAACTGCGCGAAGCGCCGCGCACACCTTCCATTTACATGCGGAACAACTTACTCCTAGCGGCCGCGGGAGACAAATTCGTCTTAATTTTTCACTGTACACTTACTTTTAAGAATTCACTTCCCTGCCTATCCTATTTCCCCAAACAGACAAACCCCCATAACCACCGTTTCCGTAGGACAAAATGCTGGAACTAGGGGTATATGAAGTGCATTGCATAAACTACTTTTGCCATATTTAGAAATGTCTTATGCATGCAGGAATGACACTTTCCGGTCAGCCTATGCGCATAGTACATCAGTTGCTGGTGGGACGGCCATGGGCTCATTCAAATGACGTTTTTTCAAACGAAGAGGACGAAAAATGATTT